AAAAAAATATGTGTGTCTGTGCACGTTATACTAGAAATTCTTTATTACCTACTACTTACTCTAAAAAAAAGGTAATGCCTCATTTCTGAGATGACCTAATTAACTAATATATATTATTTAGTAAAATAACTCCTTAAAATATCTATACTAATATTATAAAGAGGTAAAGTTTGTGACTTTGTGAGATTGTAAGTTTGTGACGTTGTAGGGAGTAATCTCTGGATTACTGAACTGATTTAGATGAAATTTGGTAAAAAGATAGTTTGAGACTCTGGGAAGGACATAGGATACTTTTTATCCCGGAAATCATCCCTTAAGGAGGTGAAAATGGAGCTGAAAGTTTGTATTGGTAATCAAACTAGGGACGAACCCGAGCGAAGCGAATAAATAAATAAATTAAAATGTTAAATATATAACTAAAATTTTTGTCATCTATCTTATTATATAAAATTGTAGTTACTTTTCAGTGTATTTTCTTTCCCAAAAGACTTCAAAAGCCTCAACTAGATATCAAGATTACGCGAAAATGTCAGTTACATAGGCGTGAAAACGACGAGCCCGTGACAGGTATGTTATCCACAATGAAATATTGAACGTTATCTATACATACTCGTATAATAAAATCGTAACTAAACCTGAATCTGTACATTAAATATTTTTTGGAAAATCTTATTGAAATAGACTTTATTATCGATACGGAGGCCGAATCTATAGCTTTTAGAATTTTTGTCTGTCTGTTACTGCGTCACGGAAAAAAAAACAAAAATATGGTATAATGATAGCTCGTTAGCCGGGTCAACATATAGGATACTTTTTACTGCGGGAAATATCTCATCTGTGAGAAATCTTTACTACCAAAACGGTAAAACATAAGCAGGGACGAACCCGAGCGGAGCGAGGGTGAGTCGCTAGTTTTCAATAAATATAACAACACATATTTTATAGATATCTTTCGGAAATCGAAATGTTCCGAGTAACCTATTTTTTACGGCGCCCACACTCCAGGTACCAAGCCTGTTATAATTTAATCATACCCTTCCGCCATCCTTACATTATAATAAGAAACTAATTACTGATTTTAATCTATTTAAATCTCATATAACAATTGCATAAATATAAATATACAGATTTATAACAAGCTTTCGTTTGTGATGTCAGTAAAAATCTGGTTAATTTCTATTAAGCAGCTCTTCTTCTATCATCTTCTATGATGTGGTAACATTTTTTCCCAAGATAAGAAATAAATAATAAATAAATAAATATGTTGGGACATTAACATACAGTATCCTCTAGTTCAATGAATCTTAAGCTACGAGGATTGTGTTATGGATACCAGATAGTTGATACACTACACAATTATATAACTTTAAATACATACTTTAATCCCTCCACGACCGCAGACACGCCGGCGTTACAGTTAACAATAGATTTCTTAGAAATTTAATTTATTTCTTAGAAATTTACCTGGAGGTGATATTATGGGTAAAACACCCATGACTGGAATATTATTGACATTCTATATCAAAATATCCTATATCACTATGCTTCAAGTTAAAATATAACACCAATCTACTACTTCCTAGGATACCTTTTTTTTTTTTTTTTAACGTTGGGAAATGCATTTACGCACGACGTGTGGGACTCACCGGCGTAATACAGCCAGTACTACCCACTAAAACCCAACAAAACCTTCCCCCGTCTTAATGGGGCGTCGCAGGATCGCTTACGCATTCAACTACGACGCCCCGACGGCAGGTCCGCCGAAGCAGACCACCACAACCATGGGGTTGCTCCACAGTCCACTCTGCTATCAGAGAAGTACCAGGAGCAACCCGCATGGTACACCGCCCTCCGAAGAGGGCCACCTCCCACCGCCCACCGAAGTGGGCAACCTCCCTGTGCGTTTCTTAGCTTCGCTACTGCTACTGAGCCCCCCCACCACGACAAGGTGAACGCACGTTGGGGGGGACTTCCTAGGATACCTACTGAGCCCACACCTACTACTGAAAATCATCGATATGGAAATCAGACTACGTTATAAATGCATAAGCACAGATCTCATAATACTATACTAGTACAGACTACAGATGCCTCATCCCATACAAAGAAATTGAATAGCATTTATATAGCATAAATATTCACTAACAATATATAGTAACACTAAATTTTATAACAATAATGCCTCGTCACTTGTCAAATATAAAAGGTTCAGGTTGCTTTAGACTTTAGAGAATCAAAAGCACCAAGCGCTAGTATTCTTGAATAAACAATTGACTTTATCGCGAGCCGCCTGACATATCTCAATGAGCAAAACTGCAGTAGAGGAGTCAGACTAAAGCAATATTTGCATTTAAACCGCGTCAGGCATTTCTATTGAATTGATGTGTTTATTTCTTAAAATGAAATTATTGAATATCTGTTAATATTTTTGTGCCAATAGGTTAGAATCATATCAATTCCTGTAATAAAAGCAGATTTTACAAAAATATCAATTTTACGTTTAGATACTTTAAAAAAAACTTTTATCTATTACATAAAATATGTTTAACACATAATATTATATCTGCCTAGTACCTATATATTAACAGTATAAACTTTTTATTCAAACAAACCCATATGTAACCACCCGTATTTATTTATTCATTCAGATCTGGTACAATATAACATGAAACGCAGAAACAGGATACAGGTCTTTAAAGTTAAAGCAACATTATCATAATTTTTTTTTAACCAAAAAGCACGTAATTTAAAGTCAAATCGTAAAATGAAAATAAAATCAGATTGCTATGACCATTACGATAGGTACGCTTGACCGCCAGATTGTAAAATTCGAGATTGCCGAAATATTTGTTAATATTCCTGTCATTTCAATTATAACTTTAAAATTACGAGAATAAAGTTCACTTTTAAACTACAATGTATGTTTTCATAATGTTCTATATGACGGTTTCAAGTACTAACGCTCATGTGTAGTGACCACTAACATTTATTATTGCATGTTCATTTGATTTAGGAAGCGCTTATAATATAAGTACAAACTAGTTTATATCCAAACATATTATGTACGTTTAAGTTAGATATAAATTTAAAAGATTAATATTATTTAGATTTTTTTTTTAGAATTAGAATTACTTGAAACTTAGCATGAGTGATGTTCAATACAATTAAATAAATACGTGTTTTACGATTTTTCTAAATTCATCACATAAGGGAGTAAAATACTGGATAAAAGTTTGTATAAAAACTACTTTTTTAGAGTTTTTTTGTAGTTTTAGCGCAAGCGAAGCCGCGGGTTCTGCTAATCTATAGGTACTAATCTATACTAATATTAAAAAGAGATAAAGCTTGTGAGTTTGTGAATGGGTAATGTAAATATATTAGTAAATAAAAATAATAAATGGGGGTAATCTCTGTATCTCTTGAACCGATTTAGATGAAATTTGGTAAGAAGACAGTTTGAGACCCTGGAAAGGACAAAGGATACTTTTTATCTCAGATTCATCCCTTAAAGGGGTTAAAATGGGGATGAAAATTTGTATGGGGCATCAACCTAGGGCCGAACCCGAGCGAAGCGGGGGCGTGTCGCAAGTATTTACTTATAAAACAATTTCATTTAACCTACAATACAATATTTATATTTATGATTTATTAAATAAATTTGAGTACTGTTCTATAAAAAGAATCCAATATAAGAGATATCTAAGTAAGAGATTTAAATAAAAACATGAATTACTTAATACTACATTGTGAGTCGCTAGTAATAATATAATTTTAAAAGTACCTAAAAGTAAGTAGTTAATGAGCTTTTGTTTATTATTACGTCACAAATAAAGTTCAAAAAATGTTTATTTTGGGTAGGTATATATGTACGCAATATTTAACGATTTTATCAACATAGGTATGTGTATTGTGTAGGTTCCTACCCCACGAGCAGATACGCAGGCAAAAGGTAATGTTAATAACAACAAATTAAAATATTGGAAAAAAAAATATTTTTCATTTAATAAATACGGCATTTTTTGTACGTTCGACCCACATAAAATCACAAGCTAAGGCTAGTGTGTAATAAAAATAGAGGAAAAATATTGCACGTGATGGTTCCTACAATGTTTAAAAACATGTATTGATGTTGCCAATCCTCAACGCTACCCACGTGTTTGTTAAAACGATTAACCAAGCTATTATGTGATGAAACGACATCGACAGTTCCTACTGCGAATCGTATTTGAGTCCATATTGTTTTAGATATCTATAGGTATTATTGCGAACTAGTTGCGTATGACTTGAGTTGTACATATTATGGTTACGCCTCGCGGCCAAATGAAAAACTGTGTCAGTGTAAACAGTTGCGTGGACGCATATTATGTTTGTTACGCGTTCTAGGTTCAAGGGGAGCCAGCCAGATTGCCGACGCGTTTCACTATTTATAGTGCCTCGAGTCTATTTAGCAGTTTGCTCTCAGTGCAGAAATGTCCGGAGTCTCGATCGAGCAATACCCACGCTCAAGTAAAATGCGGGTCGAAAACTATCGGTAACAAGAACAACAGTTGCAACTGAACAGATCATCTGTTTAGACGCTCACATTTTATTACACAAATTGATACCGTACAAAATCATTAGACGATGCAAGGAACCGCCGAACATGCTACTTATGCAACCATTGCAACACCGCGTTTTATGATACAGTGTGTTCAGAAAACATTACAGTACGTGTTAGTGACAATGTAGTTACAGGTGTTAGTTTAATATGAATATCAGTGTATAATAAATCATAAAAACATAATGGAAATTTACGTATACGCGTGTGTTGAATAACAAAATTGACATTGGTGTTATTTTAAAGTGAATGCCAAAGAATCATTGGAAATATGCCAAAATTAACAACAGCTGACTGTAAACAAACGAATTAGTGTTAAGTAATAAGCTTGTCAAATTTGTAAAGTTATATTCTAATTATTAAAACAAATGTCTGGAGTAAATAATAGAGAAAAATTTGCAAAATGGCGAAAAAAACGGACTCGAGTGATAGTGACGGTCCAATAATAGACGACAACGTAATTCGTATACAATTAAGGAAGCCTAGTCAAAGTAAATGGGAACTACGAACACGAAATCTCTCCCCTGGAATTAAATTTCCGACCATTCAACTGTTTGATTCAGAAGGAAATTTGTTAATTGAAACCAATGATGACAATATATCAATTAAAAGCTCCGGCTGTAATGAAGCTTTGTTAAAAACGAGCCAATCACTGCGGGAGAAGGACTATAGGCATATAATTAGAAAAAATTTAATACGAAAACACAATTCAATTTCAGGCGACAAAGTATTTACTCGAGTATACCGCAATCCTGTAGAAATAAGTGACAATAACGACAGAAAAAGTACCTCTTATATAATAAAGGATATTAGCAGTGTTTCAAACATTCCAAGTAAACTCACTATAAACAACAACTTCCACAATTTGCAAATAAATAGCCTCGACACCACGCCCTTCCATTCAGAAGGCCCGAGCGAAGTAAGCAGCTATAAAAGCTCTGACAATGAGACTTACGAAGATTTTCTTTCTAATGATAAATTATCCCAGAGCAAAACTAACGAAATTATTGAAAACGATATATCCCCTCCACAAGAAATTTCATACCAATCCTCTACCACGTCTTTAAATAAACCTGAGGATCCCAACAAAGAAGCCTTTGACGAACCGGAAAATGTGTATTTAGGACTTCAAACATCACAGTCATTCAATGATGCTACGTTGTCAGCTCGCCCGAAAGGGTATCATACATTACCCCGTTCAAAATCTAACGTTATTTACAAACATCCCCCAAATAAAGTATCTTTTCTCAACACTTACCTAAAAAGCTTACCTGCTCGCACTAGCTCTAATCCGGATTGGTTTGCTTTACACCTACGACAAACATCAACACGGGCACGGTATTCGAACGAAGATATAATACATAAGGAATCTCCGACATTTTATTCGGAAAAAGCTTGGCGATCTAGTAAAATTGAAGATAATACGACCGATAATGACCTTATCAATATTTCAACAGACATAGCAGCCAATTGTGAAATGAAAAAACGTTTGAAAATGTACAGGAGAGGTATATCAGAAATAGAGCACTGGCATGGAAGTTCAAGCATGTTTATAAGAAAAAGACGACACACAGTTACCGGTGACACGCGGATTACCCGCACTTCTTCATCTGAGAGCGTAGACGAGGCTGACGTAGTACTTAACCGCTTAAAGAGAAGGATACTTAAGAACAAGTTAAGAGAGAAGCGACGCGTCTGCTCTAGACCATTTTTCAGTAAGTAATATAAATTTTAATAGACAGTTACGTTTTGATTAAATTTACTGGTTCCGTTAACTTATTTTATACATTCATATATGTTTATCCTTCCTTAATGAATAAACATATATTACGTGCAAAAAAAGTTCAACTTTTTCATTAAGGACACCCAGTTCTGAACATTAACAGGTTCTAACAAAAATACAGAATCCAGATATTATATACCATTCGATTTCTTTTGTATGTATAAAAAATAGCATAAATTTCCATTTATAAGGTACATAAAATGTATTTTATAGAAAAAATTGTTACCTAGACAAATTAAAATATTTTTCGTATAATAATAAGTATAGTGGAAATTTCCAAGGAAATCCGTTTTTTTTGGATTCTTTATACTTAACACCATTTAGGATGCCTTTCATTAATATTCAGTAAGGTGTTACTCACGTTGAAAATAGGTTTAAAGGGTCCATAAATCTCACTACCGTTATTGCGTAGGCGAAAAGGCCTTTATTTTCATACTAGTAAAGTTTCTTAGTATATAGGAAATATTTCTAAAGGTCTAAGTTGTGTTAACATAATGCTACACTCTATTATCCGCTGATTTATGGCGAGCAGTTGTTTGGTCCAGCTGTCATATGGTTCGTTAGGTAATAATTGGTAGATATACACAGTAACATAACATTGTTATAACTTTAATACTGCTTAATTTTTCACAGCGAAAGTTAAGAAGAAAATTTTTTGTATACTACGTTTTTGTTCATCAAACATTGATTTCTATTTAAATGTTTAATAAACAAACGAATAGATTCAAATTTTTTCTTTAATTCCATTATTTCGTTCCCTTTTAATGGTTATTACCGATTTAATACATTCCAACTGCAAACTACGACGACTACTAAGTCAGATAAAGTACGCTATTAAAAACTGTCAATCGAATCAAATATGAAAAGCAAATCTCAGTTCATGATGTATCTTTTATGCTAATTTGAACTATAAACAAATTCTTATGATCTCTTTTTAACAAGTTCTTCATTTTAACTTATTTTTTGTAATTCTTTAGCAGGTATTTTTATTATTTTTTTACGATAAAATTGTGTAGAATATTTTGCCATACAATGGTTAAATAGGATTTCTATTTTAGAAAATGTCAGTCATGTTAGCCCGTCCTAAGGGTATATATGCACGGGGTGAGGCCTCAGTTGCAGTGCTGGCAACTATGGTTGTGGTCGCCCTACCACACGGGCAATGTAAGTCGACCACACGCTTGTTTATATTGCTAGCGAGAGGCACTCGCTTTTCTTCAATCTTTAACTTCTACTTCTACCTGTGCTGAAAATACAATAAAAAACATTTTTATCAGCATCATTTTTCTATCCGCCAATAAAAATACCGTAACACTGGATCCATTCTGGAGTTTAGCGGGTACCAATAAACAGACAAACATTTTTTTTGTAATAAGGTTAAATATTGTACAAATACTATATACCTAAACATATATAATATAAATATAATAATATCGTGGTATAGATATTTTAAAATTACCAACAGACATTTGAAATTATAAAAACTAGTGTTCGCCCAGTGGTCGAAATTCAACTATAATGTTTTTTTATTTGATAAAACTAAAACCCGTCAATAGCTACTAAACAAAAAAAATAAAGAAAATCGTACTGAACTGTTTTGTTTTTGCCTATTTATACTATAAAAATAAAGTGAGTTAAAATTAAAATTTCTATATGCCACGATGAGATAATCCAAAAGCGTTCTTTTTAATAGAAATCCAATTAATTATTAATTAAAAACTCAGCAACACCTAAGCTTGGTTCTGCTATAATCCATTGACCTTCAACTCGTTACGAAATAATTAAATAGGCATAAATCACCACCGGATCCCTCACTATACGATATTACGATGATTTGTTTATCAATATGTACAGTCACCGTTATAAATATATTTATAACTCCCTATTATTTATAACCCCTCTCTTTGCGTAGGTGGTTATATATACGCCTATGCCAACGTGTCTGCGTCTGTCTATGAGTCTAGACATCTTAGTCCCCCAAGGGATGGACTGATTGTGTAAACTCACTAGTTTAAGTCACTACTTAGTTACTCTTACTTCGTTCGGATGCTTCGCCCCAGGTTTCAAGGTAAAGAAGTAACAGATACACAAATACACACATCCATATCCATACTAATATTATAAACGTGAAAGTGTGTTTGTTTGTAGGTACTTCTTTCACATCGAAACGAAGTGACGGATTGGCGTGGTTTTGAGTTCGTTCGTGGAGATAGTTGAAGGGCTGGAAAGTGACATAGGCTACTTTTTACCGCGGGAGATTATCTAATTCCCACGGGGAAACATGTTATAATACAATTCAAAAAAATATTTATGATCAGAATTACTTAAAACTTGGTATTAATTAATGCTCTTCAATAAAATTAAATAAATACGTGTTTTAGCATTTTTCGTAATTCATGCTTTAGGGGGGTAAAATAGGAGATGAAAGTTTGTATGAAACTACCTTTTTAGAGATTTTTTTGTAGTTTCAGCACGAGCGAAGCCGCGGGTTCTGCTAGTATTATATAAATTGTCGCATTTATACTAATAGGTAGTCCGATAGTAAAATATCTTTTTTAATCGATCGAATTTTGATGCATGAATGTAAAACCACAATCTTAGTAATATGATAGCTGACCTGATACAGCTACAAGGATTAAAAAAAATTAGGTTAGATATATCGTGTTTGGGCTCAGTCAATAGACCTTGATGAAGAGTAAGCTACAATGATCATGTTTTCATAATATATTAGAAAGCATTTATAGTTTTGGTACTTACACGATTTAAAGTAAATAAAATTAAAAGTACAAAAAGTTACAAATAATATATGTACGTATATTATGAGGTAGAAACACAATGAAATTAAAAAAAAAAACAAATATTTTGTATTCTGATACTGTTTTCTATGGTCTCTTTTAAAAAAATCATTTTATATGTCGAGGATTTAATTTAAATTTATTTCTTGAACGGTATGACCCTCAGGCCGAAACCCAAGTAATAAAATAAAAGTTAAATATTTATATATGTTTTTTCAAAAAAATATAAAAATCGACTACTCGGCTGCAGGAGCTTTTACCTTTGCCCGGAAAAAAATAATACCTATGTCTCTTTTGACCGAATTCTCTTTGATTTAGTGAATCATTTTACCGCGAGATTTAAAGTAAAATATAATATTATGTTCTTGTCACGTTTTCAATTCCGTCAAATAAAGTCCAATTAAAAAAAAAAAGAAATACCATATTAGGTATATAATGTCAATTATTATTATACTTAGTTCACCATTTCGAAGTCTCAGAAAGGCATTTTATTTGTAAGTAAAGAAGTAAAATCTAAGTTGTAAACTTTAATGTTTCATAAATATTGTCATCAGTGACATACTTTATCTATATATAAAGATTTAAATGGATCATTTATTTCGAAGAATTACCTACTTAGGTAATATTACTAGTATTATATGATCTGTGGTAATATTAAATTTTAGTTTCTGTGGCCTATTCGTAATTGAATAAATGAATCAGTATTCATACAATAGAGGGTGTTAGATATTTGGTTCGATCATATTGATACCGCCATCTGTGTAAAATTCTATGAGTGATTTTCTCCTTTTAAGCAGAGGTATAAAGGAAAGGTACCGGCCCTCTAGCGGTCGTTACGAAAACTTTGTTGTATTACTAGACTACTTAGTTCTCTTAATATTTCTACGCAGTGCTGCCTTAGTTTATTCCGGAAAATAATATTTTCCTAATTAGTTTTAAAATACACTTTTCTTATCGAAAGTATTAAAGATCTACATATATTATTATCAGTAACCACATAATATTAGATAAAATAAAACATAAAATCTTTGGACTCTTATTTTGACGGAACAAATGAATTTACTTTTACTCATTAAATGTGCACTGACATTTTTTCTATTGTATGTTGGTTTATCTTAATTAACTCCAGCAATTATCTGAGAACTAAGTCTCTATTGAATTTGTTTATATTAATAGCGATACCATTTTGTTAACAAAAATTTTATCTGCATCTCATTAGTTTGTCCGCTAGCCGTCACGGTATCGGCGTGAACCCAACAGTCGGAAAACAAGAGTGTTTATAAATAGATACGAGTATTTTATAGGTAGACATGGTGCATTTTTCTGGTCATCGACGATGCCGCTGTCATTGACGCCAGTGCCGTGCAAATGCTAGTACAAGAATAAAATCCTTTGAAAATAATCAGCAGAGTTTAATTTTTAAAAAGCCACAGCATAAAGTATATAATTATGTATTCCGTAATTTAATTATTTTTTGAATAATCTATCCAAATAAATACATACATACATTCTCTCATATTTTCAATCCCTGTAATAGATTAAAAAAATATTATTGTGCGTTAATTGTTACTGTTTTTACTTTTACAGTCATCATAACACACATATATGTAAATAGTAGACGATAAAATAAATAAGAAACAGCAAACATAGAAAGTGTATTTATTATATTATACTCGTACTTGGAAAATGTTAAGTATAATACCTAAGCTGTCAATAACTTGGCCTTGCTATATGATCTGAATTTCGAAAGTAAAAGAGTATATATCTGAATATAAAACGCTTCAATAAGATCATTAATATCCCATGTGATATATAGACGTATAGGAATGTAGCTTCATATTTTAGTGTAGCCTCGAAGCCTTCGCCTCTTGTTTCATAAATCAATGTAATGGTTTCCGCTCCTTTTTGCCTTTCGTGAAGGAAACCGACGAAAAAAGTGACATCTAAGAAATCTTCGTTCATTGGCTTCAAGCCAACACTTGAGATGCTCAGCTGCAGTCACATTATACCAATATGAAACAAACTTAGAAATAAATTAATGGTCGCACTTGAGTGCCGATGTAGGTCAAGCAAACTGGATTTTTATAAATTAAGGATTATTTTTTTTTGTAGGAACTACGTTTTTCATTAGGAATTT